TCTCGACAGGCCATAAGACTGTGAGAGTCCTAGGGCGGCGAGCTTCTGGTGCGTGGTACCATGTTTTATGCCGTGAGAACAGACGGTCTGGGGGGAGAGATAGGGTTGACGCTGCAGAGGCTTAGGGCGGGAGGGTGGGAGTAGGATTTAGGACGGGAGGATGGAGTAAGAGGGTTTATAATTTAGGACGAGAGATACCCCAGACACGTGGGGAGAGATAGGGTTTACAGGGAAAGAGTTTAGAGCAAAGAGAATTTAGGATGAAAGGGTGGAGAAAGAAAATTTAGAGTTTAAGACGGGAGAAAGAGAAGGAAGGGATTTAGGGAAGGGGAGAGAGAAAGCAAAATGATAAAAAAAAAGATTATTGAAGAGGAAGGGTGACTAATTCTCATAAATTAGTCTAAAGTTTTCTAGTGTCTAATAATTTTCGTCAAAAACTCAAAACAAAAGGAAAAATTAATGATTTGGAAAACAGAGGAAATGGTTGACCGCTAATAAATTGGAATCTTCAAAGTCAAATAGATTCGGGTTTGTATGATGGCTTGATGACATGTCCAAAAGGTCCAAAAGAACGAAATCATAATTCTCTTGATAATTCCCCATCTTCCTTCATATATTTTCTTTCTAAAACAATCCAATTTTAATCATTTAGCTCTCCGCTGTCCAAATTCTACATTTCCCAACCAGAAGTTTAGACCACGAACATTGAATATTTCAGACTCTCCTAAGCAGCTAAGCTAAACATTATTTACAAAAATACAAAAACAATCATCCAAAAAAAAGCCAAAAAAAAATATAAGAAAAACAACTAAAATCTTCTTTAGAAAAAAAAAATCTCTATGTAAAAAATCAGTCAAAGATTTTGAGTTTGAATCTCTCTCAATCGGAGACAATAGAGCAAATGCCACTAGAAGAGATACTCCCATGACTATCCCCACACAAATCCAATGCTCTCTCCAAATTCCCGACAATGTCAGTCATCGTCGGTCTATTTCTCCCCTCCGCATTCACACAATGCATCGCCGTGTAAGCCACCAGCTCCACCGCATCTCCTTCCCCTAACTCCGGCGATCCAACTCTCGGATCCAAAATCCGACCCAACTCATCCGCCGTGATCGCCGGCACCGAATAATCCACCAAATGCACCGGAACACACCCTTCTTCCTCCACATCGCCACCGTTCTTAAAAATCGCTCTTTTCCCGGTCAACAATTCCAACAACACAACCCCGAGCCCATACACGTCGCTCTTATCCGTCAAAACGTTGAGACTGTAATATTCCGGATCGATGTATCCGACCGTTCCGCAGCTTTCATCGGACGGTGCTGATGATCTTTCCCCAGCTCCGGACCCATTAACGATAACCCGAAATCCGAAACCCTAGCGACCCAATTCGAGTCGAGCAAGATGTTAGACGACTTTATATCTCTGTGTATAATCGGCGGGACCGCGTAATTGTGCAGATACTCGATTCCTCTAGCCGCGTCTAACGCGATTTTGATCCGCATTTTCCACGAATTGATCAAGCTGCTGTGTTTCTCGACGTTGTTCTTGTCGTGTAAATGGTCGTAAAGCGCACCGTTCTTCATGTAATCGTAGACCAGAAGTCTCTCTTCTCTTTCCTCGCAGTACCCAACGAGCCTCACCAAGTGCTTATGGTGAAGCCTCGATAAAAACGCGATTTCCGAATCAAACGCGGTTTCTTTCTCCTGAAACTTCTTCATTTTCGCGTTTACTTCCCCGCGTTTGATCGCTACTTCTCTCCCGTCGTTGAGTTTTCCTCTGTAAACAACGCCGAAGCTCCCGGAACCGATTTTGTTCTCTAGAGAGAAGTTTCCGGTGGCGGAAGCGAGCTCCGAGAAGGAGAATTCTTCCGCTTTATCTCCGTGTTTCATCGACGATGTCCCGCTTCTCTGTCTCCTCATCGATAGCATTCTCGAGCCTTGACGTCTTATGGTCAACGATCGAGACGGTGGCGAGCTGTTTGACCGGCTATTTGAACCGCCGCGAGTAATCGTCGGTTGGACCGAGTTATGTACTTTCTTCTTCCCCAAGCAAGCTCCTGTCCATAAACAGTAAACCACACTACAGATCCCTGCGAATGCTCCGATTGATCCAACGATCGCAAACGCTAATAATCCTCCGGTGAAGGCTTTCGACGGAGGAGAATTTGACTGTGACGGTGGTGGAAAGGAGAATTGAATCGGAGGACTCGCCGGAACTGGATCGGGCATGATTTACAGATCGAGCCAGAACCAGAACAGAGGTTATCGGATTGTGGATACACACCACAAGAGCAAAGAGATGATGATTCGACGCAGGGACCTGGTAAAATTTCTGGGAAAGGGAGGAAGATTCTTGAGAAATTGGAAGGGTTCCAACACATGACGGAGAGATTACTGGAAATTAACCCGCAGATTAGACCCGGCCCGGAAGAAATTGACTCGAATGAGATTTGTTCCGTGACATTGTTGAATCTCTCTGCTCCTCCTCCCCAGCAAATCACGGAATTGTTCGAATTTCGCTTCGCGCAAGTGAAATTCGATCCGAGAGAGAGCTCAGAGTATTGGTAAGGTTGATTCGATGGAACATTGAGCTGCCCAGATTCGTTGTTTCCGATGCAAATCAAATTCCCTGTAGAGTTTAATCCACAAGCGTGTGATTCGCCTGCAGATATGCTTACCATCGTCGTGTTCCCGAATCCGGTTTGGATCCGACCCGATTTCATCGAATCTCTTCCCCAGCAAAGGATTCGGTTGTTTCGAATCGAGACGCCGCAGGAGAAACCAACGCCGGAGGAAATTGACCGGAATCCTTCGTTTTTCGGCGTTGATTGATCACTTCTCCAGCATTTCAGGAAATTTGTGCCGTTAACGGTGGCGCAGATTTGGCTGTCGCCGACGGAGAGATTCTCGAGCAAAACGGTGTCATTTTGGTAGATTCGCTTAGGGTTGAAAGTGTAGCTCCCGCTGTTTTCCCAGCAGAGAAGACTGTAGCCACCGGAGCGTACACCGCAGAGATAATTCTCTCCGGCGGCGATGGAGGAGAAGGAGACGCCGGGATTTAAAGTGACGGTGGTACGAAGGCGCGTGTCGTAACAGAGGACACGCTGTGTGGGCTGGCCGGAAATCAAGGCGCAGACGGTGTCGGAGCCGTAGACGACGGCGTAAGTTGAGCCTGAACCTAAGGCGGTGGCAAGAATCGGGAGGAAGAAGATGACGATGAAGATAACGGCGACGGTGACGGAAAACGTCACGGTTGAAAAGATAGGCCGCTTCATCTAAAGAGGTTGAATCCGACTACCGTCTTCGTCGACGCTAAGTCGGACTGGTTCATTTTCAGGAGTCAAGGCTCTGCAAGAGAGAGATAGAGAGAAAAGAAGAAGAAGAAGACGACGACGATGAAGAAATGCGTTTTGTCTAAGGATTTGAGTGACAAAACAGTAATTAATATTAGTAAGGAATTGCTTAAGAAAAATGCGTTTTTAAATATGTTGAGTCACGTTTCTTTTATTTTTCTTTGATTTTCTATTTATTGCAACATTTTTATTACTATTAGATTTTAAAAGGAAACTGAGGACTTTTTAATATGAATGTAACACGAGTGTTTTTGGAAATTAGCTAAGATACATTTTAATCAACGACTTATTAATGGCCGATTTGATTTTACGGTTCTCAAATAATTTTTGAACTGAATTCTTTCGACCGTTTCAATATTTAAATACCACACCCACTACGTTATATATGTGCATATCTTATAAAATGCTAGATTTATATTAGTCATGCAACAACCGCTCATATGATTAAAAAAAAAGTAAAGTGAATAATATCAAGAAAATAAATTTCCCATGTAAACAGTAAATTTAATTCCAACTATAAAGGTCCATGTTTCCAAAATGGTGGTGGTGGTGGAATTCATTTCTTTCCCTTTCTTTTAAAATAACTAAACTGTCAAAGTGTCAATATCTGTTTGTTGAACTTTCCAGTTTTTATTTGAATCAAATATGCATATCCACAGTTAAGAGGTCAATATTCCTAATTCCTTTTTTTAAAGCCAAAGATTCAAAAACTATGCATAAATTTATTATAAAAAAAAAAAACTAGTACACTCAAAAGAGATCTTAGGGAATTATTAAATATGATCATATCAATGGAAAATGTTATTACCATAAAAGCATATCTTTACCTTTACACAATAAAATTATGGAAATTAATTATCATCAATTCATCATATCAATAGAAGCCTTATATTCATTCTCTTCTTTTTATTCTTCCTTGGTAACATTTATACGTATTTCTATATTTCTGAAGTTATCATGCAATAACATTTCTGAAGGTAACATTTAATTGGTAACATTCACTGAAGTGTTGAAGTCCAGACTAGTCCCCTATTTTTCTTGATAAATCCTTTGCTACATAGAACCCATAGAATTTTTATGTTCGTGCTACCTACAACGTTTAAAAATGGCCAAAAAATGATGAAATAATTCTATGTTTAAGAGGATTTGAATTTGGATTTGACCAATATGACGGATTTTCAACAACAACAATAGCAAAACCAAAATGACGGATTTTTACCACACCGTTTTCCATTTTCTATTTTTAAACTATCATTTTATTATGTGGTATATGGTTTTACTTATAAAACGCTTGAGAAAAGTAACTCACACTCAAGTAATTTATATGAGAGACATTATGGAAATTTGTTACATCTCATATTCTGTATGATAATTCAAAACATATCATAGTTTTAACTATTGATTATTAGCAACGATACATACGATAATCTTAGTAGAAGTTGAATCCATTTTTGTAGTCTACGTAGAGACTGCCAAAAATGGATAGATCTTTAAACAAAAAAAGATAGGAGAGAGAGACTGTTGACCAACCAAAAACTGTTTACTGTTTTTTATAACATTCTAGTATGAAAAAATTGTATATAGATATAAATGAATCATAATGTCCTAGTGAAAAGGACATATATATTGTTATTGAGAGATATCTTTTTAGTGAAACAAAATTGAGAAATTGAGGAAAATAATTTGGCATAATATTCTTTATAATGCACAAGAATTTTCTTATTAAGGAGTTCCCGTTGAAATAAAGATAATTGATTGACGAAAAGTTCGAAAACTGAGAGGAAAATGATAGATTTGAAAAAGATAGAAAATTATAAAGCATAACTTCTTCAATGGCTGGCCATATTTGACCAAAAAAAACTTCTACTTCTACTGAATATTGATAGCGTGGTTTCGTTGATTTGTACCAAGCTACCAATAGATAGGACTATTTAAATATTGCATTTAACCGGTTCAACGTAGTTAATTATTTTAATAGTTTTTTTGTTTAACAAGATTAATTATTTAAATAGGTAGTTATATGTTAATGCAATGAAACTTACAAACTACGAAAATAGGCAAAAAGCAAAAAGTTATGGAATCGGAACTTAATTATAATGATTAGAGGCAATTTTTAAAAACTTAAGCTTCTCTACTTCTTTGAACAAAACAAAACAAAAAAAAAAGAAAAAAAGCTTGTCTACTTCTTTGAATAAAAAAAAAAAAAAAAACTTCTCTACTTCATCTTATTCGTTGTTCTTCTTGTTTGTTTGTATTCTGCGCGAAACTAATTAAAATGTTCACTCTATAAGAAAAAACCATTTATTCACAACGACCTTAATATCAAGTAAGATAGATTGTTCTATCCAGTTTGCAGGAAGTTTTGGACGGGGGAAATTTATCTCAAACTACTGGTCAGTTGTTCGCACCTTACCAAAAAAAAAGTTAGTCAAAGCTAAAACCCAAAATAGATATTAGATGGAGACTAGCCTTCTCTGCATTTTCTGCAATCTTTCCACATTTTCCCTCAATGATTTTCTCCACAGAACCATCATTAATAAGTTTTTACTTGTATAAATTCAATTCTTCAATTCTGTCTAAGGTACTTATCATAAATGCACACACATAGCTTTTTTTATCAAGAAAAGTGTTCACACACATATATACTTTTGCATGAACTTTCACGTCCTCGAATATCTTTTCTTTCTTTTTTTTTTTAAAAAATTATATTTTATAAATGTGTTTCAACCGCACTGTGTGATTCATATAGGCTACAGCTTTCATAAACTCTCTTGTTTAGATATAATTATGAGTGCTGGTATTCGTTGCAATAGTCCAATTCCAAAAAGGAACATTTTTATTTTAACACCAACAAAAAAGGAACATATGCGACAAATAATGTCAAACCGTACTACATAGTAGTTAGGGCCTTAGGGGACTTAAGGTAATTAATCAATTTATTGTTCAAAATTGTCAAACCATCCCCTTATATTGTTTTCATGTCAATAATCACGCATCACGTTCCTTTTAATGAGTACCCACGCATATGCGTGGGTTTTCTTTTTAAAATTTTTATAATGTTTAAAGCTGAAGTTTAGTTTTATCCTTAAATTTCAGTTTACAATTCTTTCACTATATCACACATCTCACGTCTGAAGAATTCAAAGGCAAATATTCTAGCAAGAAGCGCTTGTGTCCGCCTACAAATTATTATTTACATAAACTCGATATTTTCGTTTTAGGTAATCACACCATTTTATGTATCTAGACTATCGATCAAAAACAAAAAAAAAACTAAAATTTAATTTAGATTTTTGGTGATTTTAAAAAAAAATTTAAATTTTTGGTTTTTTTGGACTGGTCATATATATATTTAGAGAGATTAGTTGTTAACTTATTTTTTTTAAATGATTTTTTTTAATTAGTTTTTTTCTCGATTTTTTCTTTGGTTTTACGAAATCTTATCAGAAATTTTCTCTACTAACAAAACGTTGTCTTCAATTAAACGTGGAAAATTATCTTGAACATCATAAACAAAGATATGAGAATCCAGCAAATACTAAATATTATGATTAGGAACCTAAGAGGTATATTCTCAAAATAATTGGATAACTTTATTCCATAAAATTTTCCTATTCTTATTGGCAAAGACCGTCACAATCTCCACTAAAATTAGAAAAGTTAGGAAATGAATATAGCATGAAAATCTGTGATATTTCATACTATATATTATCTTTTGCATCACAGGTAGAGTTTGGAACTTTAGATAAGCATGACCGGCTATCGTAAAAGTTTACCAAATACGTCTTTCTCCATTTTCACCATCGGATTTGGCTTTTGCCGCTCCAGTGGCTTTTTATTGCAGTACTTGGGAGAACCAATACTCCAACTCCAAGATCTGATGGAGATAAAACAAGCTACATTTCATGCACATAAAATGATATAAATTATAATTCATTGAGACGAGATTTTTATTATTTCTTGTAAAAACATAGATATTAAAAAATTTACTAATGGATGTAATAGGTCTTTCAGAGTATTATTTTCCTCGCTTAAAATTTTTTCTAAAACAAAAATAAATAAAATAGATAACTTACACCAGCTTAACTTAAAAATTTTAGAAATTATTATTATAGCTTCGTCGCCGAATTATTATTATTTTAGAAATTATTATTATAGTTTTTGTCTTGCTATTTACTCTTCACAGAATTCTCGAAACCATCATACAAAATCTTCTTTTTTAAAGCAAAATTCTTCTTTTCCTTTAAATGAACACAAACGATGGTATTAAATGTAGATGTCTCTGCCCATGGCCAAGAAATAAATCTTAGACCATAGATTTGTGAACAACATTCACTTTCGTAAGCTTCTATATAGAAATTTGCATAAGTTACAACATGGAAGCTGTAGATTAGAGATTTATTAAAAAATCTTAGGTAATATTTACTTCTTTCCATGTCTTCTCTTCTATATTTGCTGATTATTTTTTATGCGTTGAAACATGAGTGACCAATATTTAAGACAACGTTTGAAGCATAGAATAGGAAGCATCAAAAATGGGAGTCAAAAAGCCATGAGGCCCATGATGGTAAATAAATCAGTGCACAGAAAAATGAATATAAAAGTAATTAATTTAAATTAATTAGAGTTTCACTATAGTTTTTAAATAACAAATAAATGAGCTGATGTGTCATTCAAATGAGTGCTGATGTGTCAAGTTTGTGAGACTCAACTGAATCTTTATATAATAGATAAAAGCAAAGTTACATTAATGAATTTTGTGTTATTATTTTTCTAAGAAAATGCATGCAAGACTAGTCCACAAATCTTGGATAGGCGTTCGAAAAATTATATCGACACTAAACTAAAACTCAAAAGAGATACTAATAAACTAGAAGAAATAAATTTCCTAAACGTAGAAAAAAAATGAAACATCTGATTATTTCCGGGGGCATATACTTTTTTTAACCTCACATTTTATCAAACTAATGTATATGTAATTATGTATCTCTCAATGCAATAACGAAATCCCATCACGCGCTATTCCATTGATATTGGTTTCCAGCGGAAATTCAAATAACATACTGTAAAATAAAATAAAGTAATCAGCAAATTAAAAGAAAAAAAAGTATGGGAGTAGTTAGGCTTAATTAAGATGTGAAGAAGCCTTAGAAGTCTATGCACAGCTCAAAACGATATACTTTTTTTAACAACAAACATAACAAGGCCGACCACACAATAAAAGAATAGTTGCCAAGTTCATTTAATTATACGAAAAAGAAACATGACAGGTCTTGTAATATAATTCACGAACTCTTTCGACCTGTAAAATGTGTTCAACAAACATTAATATTTTATTATTTAGGAGAGAGGGAGTAATAATGTTTGCTAGGTAAGATTAGGAACATTGACAATCTTTTTCAAAATGCTTTTCGCTGGATCCTGACATGACTTTCAACTCAATTCAGAATTTCGATCTAAGACAAATATACCTTTAGTGCAGGATCCTGTGAAAAAAATAGTAAATATACACCATATAAGAGAATCATTGCCGTTTTTCTAAGATTGCGGATGCAATATTTTGAAGATTTAAGTATATTATATAGTAAATTGAATCTTCATGGTCTAACATTATGCGGGGTTGAGTTATTTATTCAAAAATAATAAGCAATTAGATTAGAATGGAAATTGATCTCATATCAAGCATAATAAATTTCCTATAATGATAATATATTATTATCTGTAAATTTATATTCTAGTTACAAAAAAATTAGGCAGTATTGGCCAAAGAATTACAAGTAACAACTCTATGATTCGTGGTTAGCGACTAAGAGATTTGAACCATACAATAATAATTGATTTTTTTTTCGAATATCTTCCAAATGTGTAATCACTAATCAGTAATGCATGAATCCCAGTTACTCACATTCCTGAATCCCTTTAGATTATACCAGACCCAGTTTCTACTTCGGTTTGATCCATGACTCGGTATATACAAACCGAACCAACCCGAAAAAGAAAAAATAATGAATGATCTTTAACAAAATTACAGAGGAAGCTATTACATGAAACCATAAATATGTAACAAATTTGATCTTTTAAAAGGAATCTACCATAGATTATAAACAATACGAATGGTAATCTCTGTACCTTCCTTCTCCTCAGGTTTTTCATTACTGGAACTACTGTACCAAACACAAGTCCTTGGTCTTTTTTGTGAGGACCAGAGATTTCTAATATTTTGGTTTTAGCCATTACTTTCCACTTAACCCGGTTAAGTATTCCAGCACGACGGTGGTATGCCTTGCTTCTCAAACCATTCAGGCATGCGGAACCGATCATAAAGTGTCGGCCTTACATCATCTTCCTCAGAAAGTTGCTTCAGAAGTGGAAGAATAACGTCCAAAAGCTTCACGTTTGATAATTTCGATTAGTTCTCAAAAGTAATAATAACCTGAAGGGTTAAGAAATGTATGAGAAGAGTAATGAATTATAGAGACCTGAGTGTCATTTGGTTGCCCCGCGGAAAACGCAATACATGGAATCCCATTTGATGGTTGCAATAAAAAGCTGAAAGGATTGTTGTCAACGATTACTGTCCTACACATATTTTTTGATGTGCTCAGCAAATCCTTCACGTGATCTCTGTATTGCCTGATTACGAATAGCACACAAATGTATCAAAATCTCAATAACCTACAACAAAATCGAATTTCTAAGTGATAAAACAGAGTATCCGAAATATATGATAACTTACGTGCTGACTGTTGAAGGTCGATAAAGTCGGTTGCTGAGTACTTTCCTGGTATCTATTCTGTCCACAAGCGGTCTAGCATATCCTGCAGGTGGGAAACATGAATGTTAGGATAACAAAATTTGAGCATGGATTTGGGAACAGAGGATAAAACTGACAAGTAAATTAAGAGACCTTCAAGACCAGCAGTAAACAGTACAAGATCTGCAAATTGGCTAAGTTGCTCTAAGAACTCGTGCAATCCTGGACGCTCAAACACCGTGACGTAATTGATCTTAGGTTTCCCATCATATTCCTTCAGACACAAGAGGGAACCGCGTCATAAAACGGACAAATCAACAGGGAATTTTATTAACTCGAGAAAATGTTGTGGAAGAAACCTTGTCTGATGACACGCACTCCAGCTCGAACCACTTTAATCCGGCGTCAATGGCTTGATTGCGTAAAGCAGCAGGTAGACTAGACGTCTCATATGCACACACCAACGTCTCGTCCAAGTCGAGAACTACCTGCAAAGACATCTTCAGTTATCAGACTACTCTTAATACTACCACTAACTACAAAGCAAGCTTTCCAGACTTTGCCAGAGGATACACCTAACTAAGAACTTAAAGGTCCTTAGAGAAAAGCTTTCAACAGGTATAAATGTTTCACAAGTCAAATATAAGTAGAGATATCGATGTACGAATAGTACAAGAACAGATGGCCTAACTATATCAGAAAGTTAAGCAATATTGAAAAGAATATAATTCGGAGAAGTCTGATCCATTAACCCATACTCTTTACTTTCAACAAGGCTTGCAAATATGATTAATACTCATGTCAGGATATAGAGAATGGAGAAAAAGCACTTATCTCATCTACAAAAGTAATTCCATCAACATATAATATGCATAAATCTGTGAGCTTAAACTATAGACTTGAGTATCACAAGAAAACATATGAAAGTCCAATTCAAGTCTACACTTTCCTACTGAAACCATTCATAAAACAAACTCTTAGACTAGCACAACGTTTACAACTTCTTAACTACATCAGGCGTGCCCAAGTCAAACAGATTTCATCTACTTATGAACGATGACGTCCGGCCGTAGAAGAACTATGGCGTCTCAAAATTTGAAAATGGAACACAATGGTTGTGTATCATACTAACATAGTCCAAATTTTGAGCCTCGTAACTCTTAGTCAATAAGAGTTCATAGATTCTGAATTCCACGGAGCAAATTTCTTAAAGCATAAATGTCAAAATCAAACTAACTCCAGAAGACTTTGACCAATGGATAAGAAGAAGCAGAAGAAGAAGAAAACGAGAATTCAAAACAAACCTTGAGTCTCTGGAAGCGGCTGCGTTCGCCTTGGGCGCAAGAGGTCGTGGAGGAGGCGATTTCCAATTCTACGGTGGTGGGAGATTCCACCGCCCTGTCGAGTAACTCGATGGCCGGTAAGGGTTTGAAACCATCGGCGGAGGCTTTAGCAGAGGAGGAGAGAAGAGGATGGTAACCGACGGCACGAAGGATCTGAAGGAAGATCTGATAGAAAAACGCGAGCCAGTTCACCAAAGTCTTCCACACTTGAAGAGACCGAGGCGAGTAAACAACATCGGCCTGAGTCAACTCGGCCATGACTCGGTGGAACCAATTGACGCGGACGCCGGCGAAACCACGTCGGACGTTGGAATCTGCAAAAGGTGAGAGACAGACCTGAAGAAGAATAGGAAGCAATCAAAAAGTTTTTTGGGTTTCTTCTTTCTTCTTCTTCTTTTGCTTTGTTTTCTGATTTTCTCTCTCAAATGCTATTTTAATTTAATTTTTCAATTTAATTAGAGAGAGAGGGTTGTGTTCTATGGTGGCGATGGTTCGATGAAGTCCTTTGAAAATGACATTTATGATTCGATCCACGCGCCCACTTGGTGTTAATTATGAAATAAAATAGTACGATTTCGTTAAATAAATATTTATTATAATCTGGATTCAAATTTGTTAGAATGCATATGTAATAAAAGAAAAGAAGAATTAATGTAACAAATCGTGGATTTAACTATGAGTCTTTGATAGATTAAGTAGACAAAATTAGACAGATTTTCGACACTTAAATCGTTTAATGTATATCATAGATACTTTTAAAAATATTAATATTTTTGTTAATGATACATATTATATAACTAGATGAATGGTTTAGAATACTATAGTGACAATTTTCTACCACTGCTTTTAAACCCAAAACCGACTTCATATTACTGGAATGGGTTGTAACCAATATGCTCATGTGATGTTCAAAAAAAAAAAAGATGTTCAAAAAAAAAAAAAAAAAAACCAATATGCTCATGTAACCATACAAAATTACAAATGAAAGATATGTTTTAGAAGGTACGTCCAATTTTGCAAGAAAGACAATTCAGTGTTTCAAAAATACAGTGAATACTCTAAAGTCTTAAAATAATTAACAATTCATATACTTTTCTTTATATAACCAAATTTGTCAGCTGCTCAGTCCACACAAATCCACTTATAAATTTTAATTGGAACATTTTATTCTTCAAATAGGAAGAGAAGTTGGAAAGAACAAAGCACGCGCCAGGAAAATGGGAGTGGGAGTTAAAAAGGCAAATAGAGACAATAGGAAAATACAGATTTACAAACTGTTCGAAGACGCTTCTTCTATCATTCGTTTATTTGTATATGATTTTCTTTGCGTCCTTTTCTCCATCCATGTACACTTTATTCCGGTTTGGTTTGATTCAGACTCGGTTCAATTCTTTACAAACCATTACATAATTTCGGGTTTTGGTTCAATTCAAGGGAACAAGATTAAACCAGCTTGAGATATTTGATTTATCAACAAATTATATGGCACTAATCTTCCAAGGGTTCCACAGTCAAATTTGACTAATTCAAACAACTCACGAGGCGCATTTTTTTTGTTTTTTATCTTGTTTGCTCAAAGTTAATTTGATTCATACATTGCTATTATGAAGTAGAGACATAAGAGCACACGAACACACGAGCACACGAACACACGAGCACATGCTTGCAACTTTAAATGCTCAGTCGCTTTCTCTCTAATCACAAATCGACAATATATTTATCATGTGATATAGAAGAAATACGTGTTTATCTTATCTCTAAAGCTTATTAAATATATCATTTGGTTTGGTATAGAGCAGTCGCGGTCGCAGACACACCAACGGTTTTTAATAACAATTAACAGAATTCAAAGCACAACTTATTTTTGTGATTTTGTTTCTGTTGAATCAATTTACCTTTTTAAATTTACCACTTGAATAGTTTCAAGTTTCTCTATTTGGATCAAATTCACACCTTTAATACCACTAAGACATGGAACTCTAAGTAGTTCAAGAACCCGCTCCATGTATTTATTGAGCTACTTAGCTACTGGGCTTGTAAAACATTTCATTTCATCATCTGTGATACGTCCAGTACAAACAACTTATACCAAAACATTTCATTTTTTATATACCAAAAAAAAAACAAGAACGGAGAATGCATTAGAATATCCGATTGTGAAAATTTCCAAAAAGAAATAGTTTAAACAGTCAAGAACCCTTTTTTCAAACATATGGCTATTAAATTAAGAACATCGGGTAGATAAGAGATGATGTAGTCGCTTCTTTATGATCCTAATAAGTCTTCCGGTTGATGCATATATGCAACTTGTAATCAGGGCACATGTGTGAAGGAACAAACATAAAATGCTCATCTGGTTGTTCACCGCTCACTTGACGAACTTGTTTCAGACTTGATTCAAAACACAAGCGATCACCGTTTGATGAATACAACTTTAAGCTGTATGAGAACTCATGTGTTCTTGGGACCATAGGTCCAATACAGTAAGCATAGATTATTCGACCTTGTGGCGTGGTGAAACACTCCACAACCACAAGTTTTCTTCCTCCTTCTGTAGTCTGTTCCTTGAGAACAACCCTCTCACCACTTTCGGGGTGTATAAACACTGGATTTCCACATTCAAACATGTCCAAGGACTTGAGGTGTTCAGCATTGGTGTGTACATATATATCCTCGTAAGAGCCGGTAAAGTTGCATCGGTTAAAAGGGCAAGGACCTTGTGTGAAATCGCACTGCTGTAAATGTCTTGATCTTTCATCATACGTGACATTCTTGGGGCATCCAAATTCTGAATTTGGACATGGAACTCTAAGGTGTTGAAGAACCTGCTCCATAGCTCTATTGCGGGAACCAATGTGTAAAGAACATGTTGCACATTTCTTCCTCAACTTTTTATGGCAAGTATAGCATATTACATGACCATTATCGCACTGAATGCCAAAAGAGATCAAATATTTTTTTTTTAAAACAAAGACTTCATGAAATATAATTAAAGAGACACGTCAATGATATACCTGGCTTGTACATATTTATTAACTTTCAGTACATTCGGATCGAGCATAACATGAGCAAGAAAATATTGAAAATGATAAACTGTAAGGTGAATTGAATAAGCCAAAATGCAAGCTCACAACAAAACAAAAAAATCTCAACTGATGGTTAATATGATATATTCATAGAATGCACAATCATCCATTAAGTATGTTGATATAACCCTAAATTTTACTCCACATAGTATTTTACAATTTTCAGGTTATGTATACTCAGTTCCTCAGAATCAACACGTTTTTTTCTTTTTCATCATCCATTTCATGCAATATTTTCCTCTTGTTAGCATATCAAAGGCTGTGAAATTCTAGCTATAAAAAATAAATAAAAAACACTCTGGTTCATCAATCAACAATGTAACATTCAGAAAACATTGAATTACCATTATGAGTGAGAGGATAAATGCATTTGAGGTAGATACATATGAGAAAAATAACCTGATAAATGGGAATGGTCAGAGTATTAAAGCAAACGGGACAGTCGATAACATCCAGATCAAGCAGCGTCGCCGTGCGGTTCTTCTTCTCCTCAGTATCACCGGTAGATTTCCTCGTCGTCAAAGCCAACGTAAGACGTTGCCTCTTCTTCGAAGCACCGTTGTTCAACCCACTTCCGTCAACAGAGAAACCCGCCATTTCGAGAGAGATATATCAGAGGCTATGATGCTCGTTATCAAATATCAATCTTATAAACCCTAGCACAAGGCACAGCTCTGTTACTCTCTAGCTATCTCAACTAACTGATGCGGCTAAGACGAAGCTCTCCACCTGGAAACCCTAGCTGGTTGCATCTGTGGAATCGTAACCGTCAGGATCAACCAAATTTGATTCGACTTTTCAGCTTTTATCTCCATTTGGGGCACTTTTAGGTTTTTAAATTTGGGTCTTTACTAAACTCGTGTTATTGGGCTACTTAAAGCATATCTATCAAGAGATTAGATGGGGTTCATGGCCCAGTTTAATAGGCCAAAACGATTTAAAAAAAATAATCATTTTCGATGAACCAATTCTTCCTAAAAAGTCTAAAGAAACCGACTCTTCACCAGCGTATGATTGACCGAAAATTGTGTTTTAATTTCTTCATCTTTCTGAAATTCAAAAAATAATATTATTAAATTTTTATGAACTTCTCTCATTAAATTCTATGAAAACCCCATAATCTAAAATCAAACCAAAAAAAAGTTGGGAAACCTGAGAGAGCAAAAGATTAAAACAAAATTATATTTATTCGTCGTCGGATACAAAATTCTCCACCAATACGAATCAGGTGATTGTAGATTTCTTCCCACCTTCAACAAAAATTGATGAACGAATTGAGGTTTAGTAAGAGATGATCCAAACCTTTGCAAATGCAACTATTGTTTTCAAAAAAGCAATATTTTTGAAGCCGAAGCGTCATTTCAAAGCTGAAGATGATCATCAATTTTGTAGCGAGTGTTTGAAAATTTTAAGGTTTAATAATATAGCTGCCTTTCTTTTTCCTTAAATGAATCCGGTCAATCAAATAAGCTTTGGGAAAACGGTAAAAAAAAAGGTAATATAGAACTGATAGATCATAGAAGTGGTTTGGTTTGACACAGTAACGATAAACGACTATAACGGTACAGCCGAAACAAATACTTCTTTACTTTACTTATTTTTGCCAAGGAAGTGCAGCTCTTAGATTATGTTTATTGTTCGACCAAAAAAAAAAAGATTATGCTTACTGTAAAATCTAACTTTCATTAAATTAATGATATTTACAGTTGTAGAAAAAAAAACAAAAAAAGAACTACTACCTTACATGTTTTTCCGTGGCTATTATTTGTCTCTTTTTTTGCCTTCGTCGCTTGGTGGATTATTTACACACAAACAGCAGTGAACAAAACACTGGTCGTAGACTCGTAGCCACTAGCCGCCAACTATATTTCCAATCAAAACCACTATAGACTACAACTAATGATATATTAGAAAAAGGCCACGTAACTTACTATAACGCAATGGTCAAAAAATCGGCCTAGTCGGCGACTAGGCGGCCGCCTCAAGTTGGGGTTAGCCGATCCGATTTTTCATAAAATCAGTAAAGCAAATCCGGTTTAGTAAAAAATCAGACCAAATTGAAGAAAATCGGAAAAATCAGATCAAATCGGTAAAATCGGCCAAATTAGATTCATTATTTTTATCCTTTTTTCAGTCAAATTTTACGGTTTTAGATAGTAAACCAATATCAATTTACAGAAAAGATATAAAAAAAAGATTTGAAACATGGATTATGGTTAATAACTTAAAATAATCATCCTCGTTCCTCCCCGCTACTTTACTTTCATAAACTACAAGAGGCGATCATTATTCTCTATTGTTGAACTCTACAAGTTTGTTTAATCTTCTCTTTATCTATCTGTACATATTATATAACTATATTGTATTCTCTTAATTTGTCTTTTCATCTTTGTATACTTTGTTTGTGCTCTGTTTCAAGTTTCAACTTTCAATTTCAACGATGAGCCTAGAGGAGATATCGATTCCGACGATGAAAATGATATAGCTATTGATTTTGAATTTGAGTCTGAAAATGAGCGGGTGGTGGATATATATGGATGTGTTTGAAGAATAAGTTAGATATATTTCTCTTTGCTTTATATTTTTAAAGTTTTTAGATTAAAACTTATTTTAGTTTGAAGAATTTGATGATTTTTAGTTTGATTTTTCTTTGTTGAACTTTATTCTATAATTTTATTATTAAATTTTTTTACTTTTTTATTCAAACATAAATTTTGATAAAATAATTTTTAAGAAAACAATTAAAGCTTTTTTAAAAATATGATATATAGATTGAAAATTTATAAAAATTAACAAAAATTTTTGCTAACGCCTAGGCTCCGTCTAGTCTCTGACTAATTCGCCTAGGCGTTAGTCTCCTATCATCCGCCTAGCCACCGCCTAGCGATTTTTTGAACATTGCTATAACGTAATCATCAATCAAACACTGTGAGTTAGTTAATTAATTATAGAGGAGTGTAGTACTAGCATGGTAGGGCTTCTTTACAATTATTATTGGTACGTAACAATCAAAATAGGGTTATAAACTTATAACGGGTGGGCTGCATTTGCATGAGGTCAAAGCTCTCATTTTTTTATTTATTGATCGCGACGTACGTGTTTTGCGTGTCTAAATTTTAAAACGTCCTCGATAATTTCTCGTCTTTTTTATTCCAAATTTATGAGAAGCCTTTTTTCAATCATATAATATATATATATATATATATATTTATAAATCCAATATATCATTTTCCGGGTCGGTAGTTTAACCGGTGCGTACAAGAACTAGTCGGAAAGTACATTGAGTTCGAGCAGCTGCAACTGAGAAGGGCTCTAAGTTCATCCTTTGGTTTTCGACCCGAATAAATTCTCGATTTCTTTTAATTAAAGGAAAGCATAATACATTATTAATTTATACAAAAACATAGTTCATTATTCAACATAATGTTAACATACTCGCATAGCAACACACAATAAATTATAATCCTTAATTTGACAGATAAAAAGAAGCATAATTCTTCTTCTTTTTTTTTTGACAACAAGCATAATTCATTATTTAGACAAAAAGAAAACGTTTATAATTAAAATGTATGCACGTTCTTCTACTATCGAGGGGATCTAAGTTCGTCGATATGAGATTTGCTACGTGGACCCTGCGTACGAATGAACTGACGGTAATGATCGTAGGTTGTGGAGATGTACAGAGCTGGTGATTCAACTGTCACTAGCTCCTTCAATGGCTCGATCGGAACATTACCCTTTGGATTGTAGAAGAATGCCAAAGACAACCTCTCTTTTGCGGGGCTCACGATCACTCTGTGTTCTATGCTTTTGTATATTGAATTGCTCAGCATCTAACCAAAATAACAAAATGTTCATCGTTCGTTATAAAATCTATCAATCGAAATAATGCAAGAGATATAGAATACAAAAATGACTTCACGATGGAATAGCTATCCTAAAAAAAAATTTATTTGTTTGGTAGTCGTTGGAATTCTTTTTATCAGTAATATGCAATATATCGGGTTTAAACCAGATGATACAATAACAATACTAATATAAACGACTAGGATATGGTTTTTATCCTTAAAAAGGGTAAATTTATTTTTGTAGCCCTTAAAAAAATTAGTTTAACGAAGTAACTGAAGTAAAATGTTATCCGTACTAGCTATAATACCAAAACCGAAAAAAAAAAGGAAGAGATATTTATTCTTTGACTAAGTAGGCGGTTTTAGTTTTAGGACGTTTAACACATGTGTGAATATTTGTGAGCCCGTCTTAGTCGTTGAAATTGTTTTTTTCTGTTTTTCTGTTTCTTTATTTGGAGTTTTTTTTTTCCCCCTTTAATAGAGAGGCACATGCAGAATTAAAGAATATGGCAACGTGGCTTCACCAATACCATATTGATTTGCCATAAACTTTAGTTTAAATAAAAATAAAACGAAAGAAGAAGAAAATAGATGCATGCACGTGCTTTATTACTAACAACTACAAGGAAAAAAGAAGAAGAAAATGAAGTCCCTCCACGTGATATTTACTTTCTTTTCCTTACATTTATACCTTTTTGTCAACTTTTCATTACATGTATATATACTTTTAGTCTAATAATCAAAAGCCAAGATAGTAATTAGTATAGAAGGCTTGATTCTTCCCAAACGATTTTACTTATGATTGGCGAATTCGTAGACGTTTAGATATCATAGTTTCTAGTATGATTTTCGGTTTTAAATTCACTAGATATTAAAAAATAACTAATATGACAACAACCAAATTAAATACTCACTTGAATTTGGTCACCAATATTAACGATGAGAGCATGAGGAGCTAGTTCGACAGTGATCCAAGCGTCGTCGGATCCACGGACCTGAAGGCCGGCGACTTGTTCGTCCGGCAAGAGAATGGTCAATCCGCCGGGATCGGAGTGGGGAGAGAGACCGAGAGTCAACTCCGGCTGAGGGCATTTTGGGTAATAATTAACCCTTAAACATCCTCCTGATTCCTCTTTACCACCAAACGCATTTTGAAGTATGTCCTCTTGTAATCCCAAGTTTCTCGATAATATCTTCATCAAGTTCTCACATAATATCACCATTTCCTTGCAATAATCCTCCAATATCTCTCTATATAATCCAATAACAAGAAGAAAAAAAACAATCTTGATCAAAAATAAAAATAAAAAAAGAAATAAACAATTAACCGTGGATTAAATTTTATATTTGTTATCTTTTGACTACTTTGAAAAAAATTTAAATATATAGCCCGGTCAAGCAACTAGTATATTTATCTTTCGTATGTATACTTGCGTTATGAATAAATAATCAACTGATTAGTCGTACTAGTACGTCGGTTTTTGTTTTCTATTTAACAAAATTTATTTACTATTAAAAAAAGAAATCCTAGCTAGGTTTGATACACCTTGAAGTAAAAGTTACATAAATAGGATTAGAAAAAGTTTAATTTTAATAAGTGGAAAGGCTTAGCAAACGTGAATAAAAGAAATTTAAATACTATAAATAACTAAGCAAGAAGAATTATGGGAATAAAATATACCGGCAATGAAGAGGCGAAGAAGGCCACTTGGTGTAGTCCTTCAACGATGAGGGATGATAATGAAGATA